TTTATATTTTAATATTTGAGTCTATTAAATAACATGATAAAATGTGATTGATTAGATACCATTTAAAAATACTAATTTCCGCATTCTGTTTAGGATCTTCTTGTTTAAATTAAAAAAACCTATATTAAAAGAATTTATCTGATCATGTTGAAGTGAGAACGTTAAGAAGAGTAAAAAAATAAGAACTTACATATAGGTATCATTCACTGGACATTTAAATTATGACATCTCATTTAAAAATAAAAATTATCTTTCATTTAAAAATAAACATTCTTTTTAATTAATTTTTTTATATTTTAATATTTAAGTCTATTAAATAACATGATAAAATGTGATTGATTAGATACCATTTAAAAATACTAATTTCCGCATTCTGTTTAGGATCTTCTTGTTTAAATTAAAAAAACCTATATTAAAAGAATTTATCTGATCATGTTGAAGTGAGAACGTTAAGAAGAGTAAAAAAATAAGAACTTACATATAGGTAACTCAGTGCATTCTCTATTTTGTGACATTGATCAACAACTCCATTATTGACTTCAAAATATCCTTTCCTACTATGCGGGCTCTGGTCACATATGATGTGAAATGAAATAGACTATGCAACAAATTATTTCAACGAGTATTTCTATTCATTTTGATGAGGTTAAAATCTTACTCCTTATAAAGTGAATCGTGTTAAGTAAATAGGCGAGACTCAATTTAATGAGACATACTATTTTGTAAGTGATTGAGTTTTATCTCCGTGAAGATAAAAATTAATTTAGTTATATCACACAATAAGCTTGCATTGTGCTGCTTTAGTAACAGTAAGTAGAAAATTCAGATTAAAACCAAGAAACTTGTGTGATAAGAAATGTTGTTTAGAGTATCAGTGGTAATCACCACATAATTAGCATAACATCATAACTATAACATAGCAACATGAAATTTAAGGCTTCCTTTACGGCGCATATTAAAATTATGACCCCCCGTTGAGCAAGTATTTTTACTGTTAGATTAATTTTTGAACGGTCAAATCTACAATAAAATAATTATGTGTGACACGTTGTAAATTTTTAATACAGACTTATATAAATCTAACCGTTAAAAAATTAATCTAACAGTTAAAAATACTTATTCTACCGGTGAGTCATAAATGAGGGATGCACCGTGAGGTTTCCCAAAATTTAATTAGAGTGTGACTTCAATTTTTTCTTTTGTTCCTACTCAGAAAGATTTTTATAACCCACCAATTATATATCAAATCTGACTTAAAAATAAATCTAATTAAAGTCACATTAAAGTTAAAGTAAGTAAAATAAACGATTTTTATACGCAACCAACGGTTTAAAATAAAGATCTTAATAGTTTATTTTTAAATCTTATTATTTTTATTAAGTCATATCTTAATTTGAATTAAATAAATTATGCGTCTGTGTTTTTTTTTATTTTTTATGTTAGATTGTGTTCAGTTGAAGTACTATTGTTCATTGTTATGGTGATCTTTTCAAATGTCAGGTAAAGCCTCCAAGGCAACAGAAGAATGCTATTTCAGTACCGCCCTCGGCAATTCATCGAAAGGACGACGTGTGGGACGGTGCTGATGATTACTTGTCTAATTCCCACAAACTAAAGTCTTAGGTTTTGTTTTGTGTTCCCACAATTTCACTTCCATGCCAATTAGTAATTATATATACCACGAGTGTATACATACAAAACAAACATATTCACATGACGTGTGCACAAATCCCAACAATATATCCCATCACTCCATTCTTAGAACGTAATTAAACATCCTCATTTTACCATTTAAGTTTTTAATTTTATATTTTTATAGTAAATTTTTTTTAAAAAATGTCACATTTAATTTTTTTTTGTTACAGTTAAAAACTCTTAAAAAATGTCACATCTCAACTCGAATTGAAAATTTGAATCCGCAAAGTGAACAAAGCCTTAATAATTTGTAATAAAGGTTAGTAGAGATTATTATGTCTTTCTGTAGCTATAATAAAAGTGAGTTAGTTTTACTTATATCAACAAATTAATCTAATGTATGATATCCAAAAAGCTTTTGAATGAGAAAAAATTACTACATTTAAGTGTTTTGTCTCCTCTCTAAGTTAGCAATGATTCTTATTTTGTTTATCTAGTTAGTTTGTTGTGTGAGAAAATATACACTAACACGTTAGACAACGACCATGCCTCATGTGGCCCCGTGCCTGCCACGTCACATAGTCGTCGACGCCTGAAACTAATCCCGCCCCCCGGTGTAAGAGCCGAGTGCATAAGGGGGGATGAGACCGTCAACCCTATATACAGTCGAGGCCTGCGTAATTTGTTTCGAAGTACCGCGATAGGGTCGACCGAGAGAAAGGTCACCCTTGGCAAAGTATTGTGCGGGCGCAGAGGGCAGAACACAAGCAACTGGGCCCGAATTTCAAGAAAGACCTATGAGGTGACAAGCTGGAGATCCCAAGGTTGCATCTGGGTTTGGAGAAGGTCAATTGCGCAGGGAATGATTACAAACCCCTAAACTGCTTGGAACGGACCAATGAGAGTTACAGAGGATCTGCAGAGCCGTAATAGGGGAACAAATTGGATGAGTGAACAGTCCAAAATGGACTGACAGGCTACAGTCTATGTAAATGAGATGGTAGGCCACTTGAGTAAATGGGCCACTAGAGATTTGCCACTCGAGAGGAACCGCCAAACAACCCCAAAGACAGCTCGTCCAAGGGGGATGTTAATGGGTAATCTATAAGCTATAAAAGGGGCAAAGCCCCAAAGAGAAGGGAGATTGGAGTTTTTCCATGTAATATGTGAAGAATAGAAAAGAAATAAAATTCAGTGGATGTAGCTCTTCTTTGATAAGGGTGAATCACTATAAAACCTCTGTGCATTTTTTACTTCCATTAAAACACAGTACCCCTTTAGAATATTCAGTTAAATTAAAGGTTTTAACCGGTATCCCGACGGATCACAGATGGGTAATCCGGTAAAGTCTTGTTGACAAAAATCGACCGTCAACAGTATGATATCCAAAAAGCTTTTGAATGAGAAAAAATTACTACATTTAAGTGTTTTGTCTCCTCCCTAAGTTAGCAATACCGAGCAGGCGATTCTTATTTTGTTTATCTAGTTAGTTTTTTTTTTTTTTTTTTTTTTTTTTTTTTTTTTTTTTTTTTTCGTAATACTAAGCGCCGTTCATTGCATTAGATCGAATCATAACTCATTTTTTTTACCACAATATTTTTTCTCACAAAAATTTAAATTTAACTTTTTTCACTACAATATTTTCTCTTATAAAAATTCACTTTTTAACTCAAATTTTCAATGCAAATGAGCAAAACGAACGGAGCATACAATTCTGTTGTGAGTGCTCCTCCGACTTGGCCATTTTTTTTTAAAGGTAAAGTGGAAAATATTCTAAAAAAAAAATGCTTATCTATAAATCCATGACCGCTAAACAAAAAGAGTCCTTCACTAAGTAAGCTAGGCCACCGTTTTTACCTGCCTCAACTGATCTTAGCTCGGACATGCAACTAAGTAATCACAATTTGAGTTAGTTATAGATATATTAATAAATTAATCTCATGCATGATACCACAAATAATCACAGTTTGATTGACCAAATCACAAATCAAACAACTTTTTCCATTTCTGATTCTTGACAATATTTTAGGTTGGCGGTCTAAGAACGTGGACAATATACAGGTTAAAGCAGTGGATAAATTTTGGTGTTTTGGTTGCTTGCCTAGCTGGTTTGGTGATTAGAGACAGATTACAGATTGTGGTCCAAAGATTTGCCACATAAAAAAATAAAATGTTACATTTGGTTGGGATTCAATTTCATCATCAAACTGCCGAATACATTCTCTTCCCACGTCTGTATATGGTCCACCCAACTATAGAGGCTGTTTTCTACGCAATTTTGCACCGCTTACCATGGTTTTGGTGAGGACTATCTTTTTTCCTTCTTTTTTTTTTTTTTTCTTTTTTTTAAGCAAGCAAAAACTTTAGTAAAAAGAAGGAACAAAAGTAAAATATGAGAGTTTCTCTTGTAGTCCGTTTTATCGGTAGTCTTAATTTTTAATCGTTGGATCTGATCGAATCATATATTAAAAAAATACACAGAACAGATAAATTTTAATACAGATATAATGGCTGAAAAGTAAGAGATTATTAATAGTCTATTTTTAAATAGACTTTCGGAGAAAGTCCCTTAAATCATAAAAGGCATAAAAAAAAAAACGAAAAGCAAACGAAACAAAATGAAGAATAAAACAACAAAGAAATATCATAGAAGAAAACAATAATTTTCTTATTTTAAAATCATTCTCACTATAAGCTCTAAACTGGTAGGAAGATTTTTCCTTCTTCAAATTGTTGTTTGATTTTTTTCCACAAAATATTAAAATCGGCTAATTTTTTTTAAGGGGATTTTTTCTGGTAGGCTTCTGTATTGGTAGAGTTAGTTTTTAACTATTAGATCTATTTAATATCATATTAGATTGAAAAAATATGTAAAACGAAAAATTTATGATACAAATCTAACGATTAAAAAGTAAAAAATTACTGATAATTTATTTTTTCTGGTCCTATCACATAAACTCTTTTTTTAAGAACCCGAGGTAACAATTTTCGTCTCTTTCCTAATGACGATCCTTTGTTCCGAAGCCCGTGACAGTAGCTTATGATCATGCGTTCAACACATCATTTCTTTAGAAGACACTATTTCAATTTTCAGCTGTGTCTTAGAATCACTCGTATTAATTTTTTATTTTTTATTCCAAATAATCTTAATAGACGTTCAAAACTGTTAATCACACACATAGCCCCGTTTGAAAGAGATGTTGAATATGAAGACCAATTTAATTCATCTTTATTAAGCTTTTATTTTAGAAGGCCATCATTTTCTCCTTGTATCATTATTACTCTTTAGAATATAAATGGACAGTCGCAACTTGAGGAATAAAATAAAATAAATCATATTGACACAATGACACACTTGTCGCGTAATTATTTTCTTCTTTTATTCAAACAAAATTTTCTTTGTCCGACTAAGTGAAGCAGAAACTGAGAAGACTGGATATCCATTAAAAAAAGGGGGGGAAAAAAAGTGATGCATGGTCTACGAAAATGAAACGAGACGTTTCCACGAATTGTTTAAAGAACAAAAATAATAATAATAATGAAAAAACTATATACATCATATTAAAAAAAATCTGAAAAATGGAGTGAGTAAAATACTCAACACAAATTGTCAAAAAAAAAAACTGCTTATATGCCGCAACGTTGCCAAATCAGAAATCATAATCTATGTCTGTGGCGTTCTGTGAAGCAGAGTGCTTAACCAAGCGTTCTTGCTCATTGTATCTATCAAGATTCTCACAAGGGGCAGGGAAGATGGTCCCTATTACGCGGCCTTCCACGAAGGCGCATTGGAAGATATGCTTCTTCTTGTACGTTATCCCTACCGACATGTCCCGGAAAGTCACATTTCTCACCGGGATATCTTCGCTGCCGTGTATGCGGACAGGGACTCGAACTCCCTGTCCATGGATGCCTGTGAAGCTTATGTCCTCAAGGATTGGAAGAGCCTTCCTGTCGTAGTCCTCGTCTGGGTGTTCGTTGTAGTCTGTCTTGATAACAATGCCGACACGCACGCTGTCAAACGTTAGGTTTCGGTAGGTTATGTGGCGGACATATCCGCCTCTTCCTGGGGCGGTCTTTATCCGGACGGCACGCCTTGAGCTCCAAACAAGGAGGTTCTCGACGGTGACGTTTGAAACCCCACCAGACATCTCGCTGCCTATTGATACGCCCGCACTGTTGCATTTCAGCCAAGGTGGATCAGCATTATTCACGTTATAGATATGAAACTAGTTTGAAGCAAATTAGGAGATGCGAAAAAAACATGGGCTAATGAAGATAAAATGCCAGAGAGAGTTCCACTCAAGATTGCTGAAGTGGGGTGGGTCTTTCTTCATTTCCCATTCAGAACGTTTGCTACACTTCTTATTCTTATCTTGCTTCTCATTTTTCTTTAGGTCTGGATTTGGCATCATATCAAGTCTATATCAAAATCTCATCCTACGTGAGTAGCAAAAAAGAAAAATATCATCCTACGTCGAGCTTTGCCAGCTTAACCAACGGTTGAAAAACTTGTTCTTGAAGAAATAGAAACTCAAACCGTTTAGGAAGAATATATCAGATGCAAATGCAATACGTCTCAAAATGTAAGAAACAGAACTGTCATATATTTACCTAAATTGACTTTACAAATATAATTTTATAAAACAAAAAAAAGATTATAACCAGTATATTGGCCAATAACTAAGTTATGAATCCCTCAGATATTTTGCAAACCATAGATGAACAGAGATAGAACGAGGGCATGTGTGAGGCTCACCTGACCATAGAGCGAACAACAAGATTCCTGATGAGTATGTTTGTTGAAGGTCGTCCGTAAGCAATTCCATACTGATCCCAGCCACTCTTAATCGCGATCGCATCATCTCCAACACTAATGTAACAGTCCTCGATCACCATATCCTCGCAAGAATCTGTTTTCCATGTAAAATTGAAGCTAATTAGTTCTCATATATAACGGATATTTATCTGCCTAGCCTGTTCATTCGGTTGCAATTTACAGACTAAGCCAATGTCAAACAGAACAATGAAGAAGATGAGAATGCCAACATAATGCAACACGTAACTCTGGAGAACTTAGCAGAAACTAGCTTACCGGGATCAATTCCATCAGTATTTGGAGCTTCATATACGGGGGCCAAAATAGTGACATTTCTGATGGTAACATTCTTGCAGTCATAAGGATGAAGTGTCCAAAATGGAGAATCACGTAAAGTGATATTAGTGATCACAATGTCACTTGACCACATGATCTGGACAAGTGGGCCCCGAGTGTGGTTGAGAAGCTTCTGGCGATACTTCTTCCACCACGTTTGACCCTGCCCATTTATGGTACCATTATGCCCTGTTGGGCAGTGAATACACAAGTATAATCAGAAGAACTCACAAATCAAAGAGTCACAGAGAAGACAAAATGGTCGACTGGATTCTAAGCATGATATGGTAGGACAAATGAACTGACTTGCCCACCTTCGTAAATGATCTTTAAAAACAAGATTTACAGGCATGACTAGTTGCTAACAAACAAGTATACAGCCAGGGAATGACGGAACATAAGGTATACACAGAAGAAAGATGGCAATTATTTTCCCCCTTCCTCATTGTGGCATTGGAAATTGGGGGTGACGGGGAGCGTGAGAACTAAGCAAAACAAGTTCGGACCAATTATCTTCATAACCTTTTTAATACTTTTCCGTAAACCACATATTTTTCTGCCGTCAAGGCAAAGCAACTGCAAGTGACTCCTATATATATAATATCATATATATTTTTAAATTATTATTTACCTTTTCATTCTCCATTGTCTTCGAAATAAATATCTTCAAAATTACAATTTACAATTTAATCCAATCATTAAGTTCCCTTTCGTACGGGACTATGCAATCATGGGTCATTAGATGCAGGTACTTGCCACACTTCACTCTAAAAAGTGATCTTGTGCAAGATCCAATTGGTGGCCCCTATTCAAAAGCACAAATTAGTAAGCTGGAATTACATTCCGAAAATTTTGCAACTTCCAGGCCAAGGCCATAATCACATTGTAACATCTAAACCTGTAACTTCCACATTTACCCAAAAAAAAAACAAAAAAAAAAGAGAAAGAGCAGCCCATTGGACTCGCAATAACACCTCAGAATCCCTGATGTCTACAGCTAAGATGACAATGCAATTAGCTTCTAAGTTAACTCATTTGCTAGGAACCAAAAGTAGATATAAAGTCAACTCAACAGGAAAAGGATGAGTTTACATTACCCGTAATAACAACGTCTTTGAGATTTTGGCCGTGAATCAAACTCCCATACCGAGGCCCAGGATGCTCTCTCCCATACCCATATGAAGGCAATGGAGGCATTAATGTCCAATACTTCTCATCCTGTTACATACCATGTACATTAACATTTAGAATCTGCAATAACAAATCAAATAGGAGACTTTGCAAGAGAGAAAGCGGTGACTGGAATGAAGAAACTAATATTCGAAACTTTTACATCGGCAATGTGCGACGAAATTATTTACTCAACTGTGGATCCAAACTTGCAGTTCCAGCAATTGTGCATAATATTGTTAAAAAGCATGCCAAGGAGTTTTTAAAACATACGTCACATATCTCAATCCACAGGAATTTGTCAGATATTACACATTTTTACCAGTTTCCCACATATAATGGGTGTTTACTTCGTATTAAAGGGAAAAGGAAAAGGAGGAGTGAGCCCCTTTATCATCTAATCATGTGTTCACTTACAAATCAATAACAAGATTTTAGCGGACCCTACACAATGTAAGTATCAAGGGAAGAGAATGCTAATTCTTGCAAACCCTTCGTATTGATTCCCCATTAAAGGAAATGAATGCCAAGTTTACTCATATACCCTTAATAAGAGCATCTCGAAGGGAACTCTCTAAATTTTAGCTAAATTATTTTATCTAGCAACTTTTTGATAAGGCACTCCAACCATACTCTCTATTTTAGCTAAATATATATTATTTTAATAATTATTGAATTCAAAATATAAATAATTTTATTAAATTTAGAAATGAGTCTTTGCATTTATTATAGTTGAAAGAATAAAATAATACAAAAAATGAAATAGCTAGCCACTCCATGCTAGCTATATTTAGCTAGTGGGGAAGGCTTTCTCTAAAATAGCTAACCATTTAGCTAATGGTTGGAGTGGAGAAAAGCTAAAGAAAAGCTAAATCATTAGCCATTTTAGCTAAGAACATAAAATAGCTAGCACGGCTCTAAGTTCCCATGTTATAAGTTAAAATTAGCTAGTATTATTTAATTGCGTAAAAGGACATTTTATTTATTGCATTGAGAAGATTACTATTCCTAAGTTTAGTAAATACTAGAAGGGAATCAGATTGTTTTTCATTACACCATCTAATAGACAAGTAGACACTATAAAGGGAATCAACGAACCTCATTCTTACTGCTTTGCTTTCCTTTTCAAACTCATTACCTTATTCATTACATTCCTTTACGGTCTGGTAAACAAGTGCATGGTTTAAAATCTTTATACAAGGAAAACTGGATGAATATTGGACACGTTTGAAACTTGATTGTTACTAGATAGACAAACCTCTCTCTTTATCATCTCGTGCCAGATGCAACAATATCAAGACCCAAAGTAATGGATAATGATCACCAAAACGTTTATATCGGTGGACAAACTCCTTTCACGTGAAAATCACATCCTACTTTTGTGTTCACTACCACAAAAACATGGAGTTTGATGTGCTAATAAAATGAACTTAAAGCTCATTCTTAAAGAATTCACTATTCATTGAAGACTTTTAGACTATAATATCCCCATTATCACCTCAGGAAGTTAAACTGATATCATGGTATTTAACAGAACTGAATTACCATAAAACTATAACAAAGCAAACATAAGGATTAATCAAAGCATTCCTAATTAGAATAAAAGCTAAAAATTCAACCGAACTGAATTAGCTTGAATACATAATTTATAAAGGAAAAAAAAAAGAAAACCCACCTGAATTCCAAGAATTTCAGCATCCTCAGCAAGGAAAAGCGTCATGTGACTGGTGAGATTAAACGGAGCGGTGAGCCAACGACCGGGAGGGACATTGAGCTGAGCTCCACCTTTCTTGCCCAACTTAGAAATGGCCAAAATGGCTCTCTCAAACGCCTTGGTGTTCGCCGTAACCCCATCGCCCACCGCCCCAAAATCCGTCAAATTGAAGGCCACGGGTCTCATCCTCGGCATGGGCTTCGCCGCCACGGACCGACCGCCGAAGATCGAAAACCCATCAATTATATTCCTCTGCCACACGAAAACGGAGAGGAACGCGACGACCCAGAGCGCCGTGAAGAGGACCCTGTGCGAGGACACGAAGGAAGGGACCCACCGCCGGAGGTCCAGCCTCTGGTAGTGGTGGAACCGCCCCACCGGTGAGGTCTCCACCATGATGGGCAAGCGAAACGTTTCGAACTCCGTCGCGAATGGAGGATGTTCTATTCTTGGTGGGGGAAACGTTTCGAAACTCCGTTGCGAATTGGGGATCTGTTTTTGATGGGAGAAGAAATATTATTATGGAAGGGAGTTGTTGGGGGAGAAAATGGAATTGGGTTGGGTGAGATGTTAGTGATCAGAGTCGGGTGGACTTTATGGTTAGTGACGAAAAATTGAGTGCATTTTAAGGTAAGGCTCTTTCTCTTGTTCCGAATGAAAAAGGTTTGAAAGATGGAGATCGGGGAGTTTTTCTTGATTTCTGGTCTGGGACTGTGATGGAGTAACAGGTTAGAGTGACGGAGCGTCTCGTGGAAATACCATGCTATTTGAGTCAGGAGTTGCCACGTACAAAGGGAGATATAGTACTGGGGAGATATTTATAGAGATTCAGGCGATTCGAGTTTTATTATAATAAAAAACTCTTAGAAATAATCACATTTAATTTTTTTACTATAGTAAAAAGCACTCACACAATATTAAATCTCAACTCGAATTAACAAACTGAACGAACCCTTATTTTAGCATTATTATATATCGGTGTTCCTGAAATTTTAAATCGTTTTTAGTTGCTTTCAAATTTTAAAAACTCGCTTTATCTTTTAAATTTTAAATTATTTTCATTTAACTCTTATAGTTGAAATTCTTGTTAAAAACATATTAAAAAAGTAAAACAGATAAAAATTACATGATCACATTTTAAATTTTTTTTAAGTATGTATTTAAAAGAAATTTTTACAAAAAGACTTAAATGGAACTAAACTAAAATTTAGAGCGTAAAGCAAAAGTTTCAAAATTTAAAATAAACTGAAAATGATTTTCAAATTTAAATGATACAAGTGATAATAATACTAGCTTTTATATTACCAATTTATACTTAATCTTACTGCTTTTTAGTCACCTGTCTATTTTTTTCATTTTTATACGCGACACTAGTGTTATCTTTTTCTTATCTTTTTTTTTCTTATAAAAAGTTTTATAAATGTACGTTGTATTTTAAATTTATTTAGAAGACATAGCTTTTAGTCTTTTATCTTGTCAAACATATAAAATAATATTATAAGTGTGTAACAAATTCATATATTGAGCGAGCTCAAGTCAATGCTTAGTTTTGATTATTAACAAGACAAAAATATTCTTAAAAGAGAAAAAAAAACTATAAAAAACAAAAAGATTAATCTCAAGTCATACACCCCCATACATTTTTACTACAACTACAAGTTTTTTTTTTTCTTCACATTTCTTATTTAATTATTTTGGTTTTAGAAAGATCGATTTATTTTTCTTATTTTTATTTGGGGGGTACTTTATGCTTAAATTAGTAAAAAATAAACATTGACCGTTACAAGATACGCATTAACTTTTTACACGCTTTAAATATCACGGTATAGATTTGTTGTGGTACAAAATAGATGCTATATTTTCTAAGAAGGAATAGGATACATTTATGTAAATCTCTCTCTCTCTCTCTCTCTCTCTCTCTCTTGTTTTTTTTTTTGTTTTTTTTGTTTTTTGTTTTTTAACGACTCTTTACTACAAACCTCAATCGTAAAAATTCAAGAAAATATTTTAGAAAAGGAATAAAATAAAACATAGTAGCAACAAACAAACAAAACGGATAAATAAAAATGCCACTTTGCTTCAGTTCGTTTAAGTACTATGAATTTATGATAATTTTTTTTTATCAGTGATGAATATTTAACTAAGAAAGAGAAGAAGAGACTAATTAATAAATTGGGGATAAAGAAACTGGAAAGTGAAAAACATATACTTCAGTTTGCATTAAAGTTTGCTTTTGGTGTCACTCAAAAAAAACATTGCCGTTTTGATGGGTCCACTATGTATCTTTCGGAATTTATTAGCTTCATCAGATATTATTGAACACGAGCTATTCCAATTGCTGAATGCATGGTTTTAAGATAGTTACGAATAATTATTTCAGATTATAATTTGTTAGGGTTTCTAGTCTCTATGGATTTTTTCTTTTGTTGGCTGAAGAGCTCCTCATCAATGGATTTATATTATTTTTTTTAATAAACAGGTTCTCTAAAGATTAGTTATGTATTTTCAACAACAGGAGATATAAAGCAAAACAGAAGTTTATTGTTAGAAACTTCTCTGATAAGATCAGAAACACGAATTACCGGTAGTTCTTTATTTTTAGCATCAAATTTGTGTTAAATATTATCTGTTTTACATATTTTTTTTAATCTAATACAATTTTTACCTGATTCAACGGTACACTACTTATTGGACTGACCTATTAGAGAAACTTCCGTCCCTTATTTATAAGCTAAAAAAAATAGAAGTTTATTTTGCGGCAGAGAGAAGTAATACCGCAGAAGACATCAAGTAGGAAAACTGGTAAAGTGTTAAAATCTATCCATATTATAGTCGCTACAAGAAAACAGTGGATTAGCTATACCCACCAAACTCGCATCTTTTAAACCTCCATAATAAATACAGAATTATAGCCAAACTCTTTAATCCTTTGTCTTTCCCCTTCAGCCTTCAACCAATGTGTTTCCACAATTCCTCTAGGCTAGTGGTAATGGACTTCTTGAATAAACCACTGCACATATTTCCATAACATTTTCATTTATGTTTACCATATGCATAAACAGCCAAGTTCCAAGGTCAAGTAAAGTCGGACCAAATGATGAATTTTGTGTAAATTCAACTAGGTAGAACTTATTTGCTTGTATTATTTTTATGTATTGATTAAGAGAATTCTTATGGCATAAGAACTGTTGTTTTATTTTACTGGTAAGAACTGTGGTTTTAACTGTTTGATACATTTTTGACAAAGCGCGTGACACAAAATTACTTCTACACATAAATCTGTTGAAAAATTAATTCAACAATTAAAACAACAACTCCTATCTGTAAGGTAAAATAACAGTTCCCACCATAAAAAGTTCTATAAATTAAACTTATTTATTTATTTAAATATAAAAATGCTATATTCAAACACTTTGAGTATATTCTTTTCACACCTAGAATAACAACTCAAATATTTTTATTACAGTGTTTTATCTAATTCACCGAATGAATTCCTTTAATCTTTTTGTTATGGACTTATGGTCAAAGTCAAAGGCAAGCAAGGTCAATATGACGCGGCTCGACCCGCGGGTGCCATGACCCGGGTCCAAAAACCATTAGAGCTACCCAAAAAAAAAAAAGTTCCAAGGTATGGGCCTGTAAGCTCATATCCAAAAGCGCTCGCCAAGCTGAAGCCACCATTTGTTATTCTTTCCTTGTTGTGCCACATCACATCACACCCTATCATGAACTATCCATTTTCCTGGGAGTAGATAAACCGTTGAAAAAAAACTAAACTAATCAAGAAAAAGCCTTGTGGAAAGCTTTCAAATTTGGGAAGAAAGAATCATTCGTTGCCATTTGCCTCCCAACATGGCATTGTCCATCGCTTCCACTGCACTTTCAAGCGTCCCAAACAGGTCCAATATTTACTTTTTAACTTAACATTCAGTTAGCCACAAACGAACTTCTTAATTAATCATACATGCTTGCTCATATACATATATATATATATATATACATGCATACATATAAATATATATATAATTTCTGTTTGGAATGATCAGGGAATTGCCGTTGAAGCTTAATTCCTCTGGAAAAATCTCAAAATGCTCCTTGTTGGGAAAAACTCGGGTTAATGCAACAAAAGGGGTTTCAACTGTTTGTGAGCCACTCCCTCCGGATAGACCACTATGGTTCCCTGGTAGTTCACCTCCTGAATGGCTAGATGGCAGGTCACAATTCACTACTCTCTCATAAATCTCTTCTTTCGCAATTTACCCCCTATTTACTAACATTTTTGTTTTAATTATTTATAGAAATTTGACTTCTTCTTTTTTTTTTTTTTTTTTTTCTTGTTGGTTTTGTAGCCTTCCCGGGGACTTTGGCTTTGACCCTCTTGGATTAGGTACATATTATGAATAATGATAAATACCTTAAAATCATTCACCAATTTCACTTATTCAATCAAAATTGTTAAATGGTATATGAGTTGGTTATGCATATCTTGTTTAATTACTTCAATACTAACAAGCATATGGTCACATAAACAATTTGGTACCTAAGACGTTACTAACAGATTTTAAGTCTTCTATTTATATCATGTTCAGAAGTCAAAGTACTAGACTAGTGTTAAGAAAGTGGTTTCTTTGGAACTAACATATGGTGGTAAATTTTGGTGTGTATGTAGGATCTGACCCAGAATTGCTTAAATGGTTTGCACAAGCTGAGTTGATACACGGAAGGTGGGCAATGCTAGCAGTATCGGGAATCCTGATTCCAGAATGGCTTGAGAGGCTAGGATTCATAGACGACTTCAATTGGTATAACGCTGGTGCTAGAGAGTACTTTGCAGACCACACAACCTTGTTTGTGGTGCAACTGGCGCTAATGGGCTGGGTTGAGGGCCGAAGATGGGCCGACATGATAAACCCGGGATGTGTGGACATTGAGCCCAAATTGCCCCACAAGACGAACCCAAAGCCCGATGTGGGGTACCCGGGTGGGCTGTGGTTTGACCCGTTTATGTGGGGAAGGGGGTCTCCGGAGCCTGTGATGGTGCTGAGGACAAAGGAGATCAAGAATGGCCGTCTTGCAATGCTGGCTTTTGTGGGATTTTGGTTCCAAGCTATTTATACTGGGAATAATGACCCCATTGATAATCTATTTGCTCACCTTGCGGATCCTGGTCACCGCAACATTTTTTCGGTAAGGCAATTTACTCAATATTTTGAAACATATTTCTGAACGTTAGATTTGCATGAAAAGTAATTCGACACAAGAAATACACATTATTTATTAACTGAATCTCATAAAAATTTGAATGATTTAGAGATGTTCACTAGTTATCCTTTTTTGGCATCTTACTCTTAAATTCTCCTATAACATTGTATTTGTACTTTTTTATGTGAGACGATTGGTTACAATGTAATTCATATGTGCAGGCTTTTACTTCACAGTAAACGTTGTAGACTACAGAATGGAAACGTAGAAGAAGACGTTGAAAATGTTGCCACAGCAAATCCGCTTGCCTCTAGGCTCTATGTATGTGCTTCATATAATTAACTTCTTTCCATTCTTTTTAATCAAAGCAGAGCAGTTGTAAATACAAAGAAGTCAAGTATTTCTCTTTGCACTTCTTGGTTCCTTTAATCTCAAATTCAAATTCCGATTGAAATATGAAACCATGACACGCAACCAGTCAACCAACAAAATTAATCTCGCCAGCCAGTTTCACTCTCTCGAGTCTCACGCCTTGTATTGAATTTGAATCTTGTGTTGGAAATCACATACACGTTAAATTTGAGGACTCTATTTCCCCCGAGGGCGATTTTAATCTTACCAAGAATAGATTTTGAGTAGAAATAAAGTTACATTGCAGCATATTGTCATTTGCGACACCGCGAAATAACAACAAGAACCGCCACGCAGCACTCAGAAATAGAAAGAAAATGTCACCCACAATCAGCCCTGCAGGGGCTAGAAAATCCGGCTGTTCACAACAACGGACTACTTGAATAGAGGCACTCTCAATGGCATTGATTTGCAGTCCACTGTCCACAGCAAATTGATGGCCCTCACAAAAGGCCATACACTCGGCAACAAAAGGAGAATTGAAACCTAAGATCCTCTTTGCCGTAGCGCGTACTACCGACCCTCGAGTCGCTATGCTTACACCTCCTAATCCCGGCCCTTCAATACATTCGATAACCGTCGCATCCACATTCAGCTTTAATTCTCCTACCTCCGGAGGCTGCCAGGTACGGACATGAGGCTGAATAATTCCGCAGCCCCAAATCATCCAGTAGAGTCCAAATATCCTTTAGTCCCTCATGAACATTTACTTTCTTCCTTTCATAACATAAGAATCACAACAGAGTAGCCAATGTAACAAACTCTTCTTTGTTCCTTTGATACTTACAATATTATAGAAAAAGTACCAATTGGAAACTATTTATCGTTCCCACTACCCTAATGACAGAATAACTTTGCGCGGTTGCTAATCACAACCTTTTTTTAAGCACTTTCGGCTCATATATAGTAATGTTGAAAAGTCATTAAAAAAGTTACATAATTAGTAGCTAGCACGTGCATTCAATTTTAATAAAATAGATTTAGAGGAGTGATCATCATCATCGGTTCTCTATAATATTCAGAAATTAAAACTATATACGAACATTTTTAATTCAAAAAGTTAAAATGAGAAAAGCTACTTAACTATAGACGTTGCATAAGCAACAATTTAGGATTCAAAAAGTTATTATGCTGATTGTCAGGGTCCGGTAAATTCAGAGGGTATGACTTGACAAGGTGTGCACGTTTAAGTATTTGACTCGTTGGTGGCGGTTCCAACATGGCCAAGGTACTTAACGGAACTTCCAAGTAGATGACGATGACAGGACCTCCGACAATGGTGTGGTTTGCTTAGACCCAAATTAGGCCGAAGAACACATGTTCTAGGACCCTCTTTATTGCCAAAATCACAAAAATACTCCTGTAAAAAAGTTAGAAAATACAAAAAATAATAATGAAGAACTTCGTTAACGAAGAATGGTGGGAGGAATGATCACGTAATTAATGGAGGAGTGACTCGATAGGTGGATAAAATTTTTTCAATGGAGAAGGGCTCCAAAGACATCTTTCAGACTGCTTTGGAGGCTTTAAGTATGTAGCTTCACTAGTGGATAAGGCGCTGATGGAGAAATGCGTACAGAGGAGTCTAGAGAAAGAACTCTGAGAGCAAATACAGGTTGCTTCGAGAGCGTGAAGACCGTTTAGAGCACTCCCTCCGACGGCGAATGAGAGTGGCTCTGAGGTTGGAGGCTTGAATACTTCCAGGAAAGTATAGAGGAAACCCTTGAATCACTCAGATGGTGGTGGAAAAGGATTTGGAGAATGTTCGTGAGGAGTTTCTGAGGAGGTTAACGCTTACAAACTATGAGGTTTCTCAACATCTTGAATCAAACTCCAAGTCTTTGTAGCAAAATACTTGAAGAAAGCATTCAAAGGGAGATGGTTTCTCAAGAGTTTCGGCACTCTAATGGTGTTTTCTAATGTGTAGCTGTGTGTTGAAATGAAGAGGATGAAGGGGTATTTATGGAAGGAAATGGAAGTGCTTGACAACTTCTCTGAGGGAGGTCTAAGCACTCATTTCTGTTTTAAGGAAGGCTGTTAGCTCCCATTCTGGGTTTGACAAAAAGATGGCTCCGAAATGAAATAGAATGTTATGGAATGGAGGAAAACAGCAGCGGCTTGTCAGAGCATTCCTATCGGAGGAAAGGTGTTAGCTCACTTTCCTAGTTTGACAAAGACACAAATTGAAAATGGGATGAAAGGTGTCTGAAAATTTGCTCCAGCAGCATTCTGATGAAGTACAACACAAGTCATTCTGTTTGGAGGAAAATTCCAGCTACCTTGTCGAAGGAGGCAAAATGTCACCTTAGAAGTGGAAATACTTGGAGGCCAAATTCTGAATTTTGGGCCGACACAAAATGACTTACCTGAAATCTCCACGAGTGTTTGACTCAACCAAGTGCCCCAAAGACTTTTCTCTTTGGGGGTCTGATAGCGTGTTGGACTTTCGTCAGAAGCTGTTTGCATAAGAATGACCATGCAGCCATTGTACTTGCTCTGACAATAGGATGCTCCGACACCAGGTTGCTCCGAATGTGCACGAGTGCCCCGAATGGACAACCTGATATGAAGAAGAGTTGAGAAAGCATGTCTGACACGGGAAGTGCTCTGAGAGGCATGTCTAGTTACGAGAAAAACCTTCGAATGAGCCGAAACTAATTGATTTCTTAGGCTTTAGGTTGGAGAAAATTTTTAAGGCATAAGACTTGGGTTTTGGGCCTTTTAAAAGCTAAAGTAAAGGATCTTTGGGCTTCTAAAAGCAAAAGAAAGGCTTTTTTGGGTTGAATTCTCCGTTACTCATTCATACTTAATTTAACTAATTCTGAAAAACTCTCCAAATGGGTTTCAAATTGGGTCAAATGAAGAACAAATGGGCCTATGTGATCACTCATGACCCATAAAATCACAACCCACGGGAGTTCTCCGAACGTGATTTGAGTCCATGAACGAGCCCAATTACATCACGGGATACAAAGGATTGGGCTTGGACCCTTAATGGACCTAGTACAATTCAGGTACCAACACTGATTTATGATAATTATAAGTAACATGATTCAATTATCTTAAATATGCAATATACGTTAGAACCCTTTCTAATAATTATTTACAATAATTGCCATTCGATTTCAATTTAGGTTATTAGCTTTGGCTTTCCGATAAGCTTTTAAAAAAAAGATATATAAAATTAAATAAAAACTCACGCAGAGAAAAGAACTTAAAAGAAAAAGAAAAAAAACAACAACAAGAAGATAAAACTTAGGTTGAATATTCAATATATGAAGATAGAAAAAACAAAAAGAATAAGATAAAACTTAGGTTGAATATTCAATATATGAAGATAGAAAAAACAAAAAAAAGAAGATAAAACTTAGGTTGAATATTCAATATATGAAGATATACGTAACAGTACTCCTTGTCCTCATCTAACTCGGCTTGTAGTGTCTCTATATAAAGTGCACTGAGGACCAAAAACTTCTCTGCACAACTTATTTCTCTCTTTGTTTCGAGAGCAAAAGATAAAGATCATAATCTATAATCGGCAAACATGAAGAAGCATTCAATCTTCCTCCTCTTCTGCTTGACATTTA